AAAAGCACCGAGAGTGGATATTGAACTTGCTTGGGCCAAGGGCTTTTCGAGTTTATTTTGATTAGGGAGGGCTCCAAACCACCCCAGATTTTTTCAAAGGAAATTAAAACGCAAGAGATCAAGGGATTTGCCCAGGGTCACGCAGCACAATGGAGGCCTTCCCAGCCGTCCAGCTTCCAGGCAATCGCTGGGCCGGAGAAGTCGGGTGGCCTCTCCTCCGAAACTCTAAACATAGTAAACGTTGAAGGCCCCTCCCCGCGGCCCCTCTGTCCTGGTCACCCGGCCCGGGCGTGGTTCTTCTGACATGATGCTAACTCCAAATGTGTTTCAGGTTTTTCTTTCTTTTTATGGTGAGCTCCCCTGAAAATACGAGCTTCTTGGAGCTGGAGAAGTTAAAATTTGCAAGGGGGGGGCAAGGCATCGTCTGGCTGCTGGGAGGACACGGAGTGGTGGCCGGGTCAAATTGGGGACGCTGAGGCTGTTTACAAAGCTGCCAGCAAGGCCTCGGAGCACAGTGGCGGGCTGTCCCCCAGGGTGGCAGCCGGGGGCTGTTTCCACCTTTGGGCACCAAAGAGTCAGATGAGAAAAAGGGACTGGAGCTTGGGGGGGCGGAGGTGGTGCGGGGCCGGAGGTGAGGCACAGCAGGTGGACCCCACAATGAGACAATGCCACAGGCGGCTCTGCTCCTGCCTCCCGGCCCCTCGTGGCCGCCCCCAAGTTCCAGAACAGGCAGAGACAAGTGGAGAATGCCTGTCACCCCGGACCCCATCAGAAAACATGGTATTCGGCAAGCGCGTCCCGAGCATCTGCAGATCTGGAGACAAGATCAAGTTGGAAACTGCCACCTCGACCCTCCCCTGGGGTGATGTTCCACCAGTGTCCACCGCGGCCCCACTGTGACGTCTCCACGCCTTCGTGAGGACATCAGAATCGGTTCCCGCGGGGGGCACAGGGGCAATAATTTCTGAGCCGTGGCCAGCCGTAGGAAGGGACCAAGTGCACGGGGAGAGGTGTTCTGTGTCTTGAACATCCTGGCTGCATAGAATGATACTAACATTTAAAGACTCCAGCTAAGGCCACCGTAATCCCGGTTTCCTTATGGCCTTCCTGGATCGCGCTTGCTGTCCTAGCATAACTATCGCCGTTGGCCCCCTTTGCTTGAAAAACACTTCACTTCGGGTGATAAATTATATGGTTGCCTTAGCTGTAAGGCTGGTGCACGAAATGCCTTATTTTATTTTATTTTTTTCTGCTCCGCTTTCTTTTTTTAAATTTCAGCATATTATGGGGGTACAAATGTTAAGAATATGTATATTGCCCATGCCTCCCCTCCCCCCTCGAGTCAGAGCTTCAAGTGTGTCCATCCCCCAGACGGTGCACATCTCGCTCATTATGTCTGCATATACCCATCCCCTCCGCACCCCTGTCCACCTGCCCGACACCCGATAAATGTTATTCCTATATGTCCACTTAGGTGCTGATCCATTAATACCAATTTGCTGGTGAGCGCATGTGGTGCTTGTTTTTCCATTCTTGAGCTACTTCCATTCTTGAGTAGAATGGGTTCCAGCTCTACCCAGGAAAATACAAGAGGTGCTAGATCACTGTTGTTTCTTAAAGCTGAGCAGTACCCCATGGTATACATATACCACATTTTATCAATCCATTCATGTATTGATGGGCACCTGGGTTGTTTCCACAACTTTGCAATTGTGAATTGTGCTAAAATGCCTTATTTTAAATAAGGAGACATTGAAGCCAGAAGTCAGAACTGACTCGCCTAAGACCACACGATCCCTCCCGAGCCCAGCGCACCTTATTCCGCTCAATGAGTTGCAGGCTGCGGTTCACCAAGGACGCCTCAAATCTCAAGAGCAACGTGGCTGAGAACCCGGCTCACCTTTCGGGAAACTGTGGCTTCTTCTGCAACGTTTTGTGAATGAAGTTATATAAACAGATCTGTATATCCAAGTGAGATCTATTTCATCTGGCTTTTTTCCACTAAGTGAAATCAACTGACATCCACCCATGTTGTTACATTGTATCAATAGTTCATTTCTTTCTATTGCTAAATAGTATTCAGTTGTGTGCTGTTACACAGTTTTTGTTTATTCATTCACGGGTTGGTGGACACTTTGGTTACAGTGTTTCATTTCTTTTTCTTGCCTTATTTCACTATCTGGAAACTCCAAAGCAATGCTCAACAGCAGCTGGAAAAGCAGACAACCTGTCTCGTTCCTGATATTAGCAGAAAGCACCAAGTCTCTGTCCGTGAAATTTGATGTCATCTGTAGATCTTTCACAGGTGCCCTTTGTCAGATTGAAGAACATCCTTTCTACTCCTTGTTTGCTAAGAATTTTTTTTTAAAAAAATCAGGAATGGATGAATTTTCTGACATACATCTCCTGCATCTATTGAGATTACAGTGTGTGTGTGTGTTTATTTTGTTAATATGAGTAATCTTGATTGATCTTGACTGTTAACTCAACAGTGCAGTCCTGGGATAAATCTCACTTGGTCTTTGCTGTATTGTTGGATTTGATTTGCTGAAATTGGCTATAGAATTTTTGCATCTATATTCATGGGTTTCTTATAATGTATTTGTATCAGGTTTTGGTATCAGGGTAATGCTGACTTGGATCAGTGTTGGGTCTACAGCTAGCTCTTCCAAATCTGGAAGAGTCTGTGTATATTTGGTAATAGTTCATCCTTGATTGTTTGGTAGATTTCACCGGTGGAACTATCTGGGTCTGAAATTTTCTTGGTGGGAAGAGTTTTCTGGATTCCACGGCTGGTTAATCTGGCTTTTCCCTTCTGCCATCCTCAGCTTGTTGGGCTTGTCCTTAGCCAGGCCCCTCATGGTCACAAAGTGACTGCATAATCTCCAGACTGTCACACAACATCCAAGAACAGGGAGGGCCCTCTTCCCCTACGTGTCTCTGTATTAGAGGGGAAATCCTATCTCAGTAGGTTCCCAGCTGACACCACCCGCTCCCTTCTCAAGCGATTCTCCCCAGAATCATGTCCCATACCCATATGCAAACCAAATGGTACTGACAGGACTATACCAGTCAAAAGCTAGAGAGGGGCCAGCTGTCACCTGAAGTACACAGCAGCCCTTTACCTGAACAAGGTGCAGGATCAATTATCAAATGCTATGGAGGAGGGAGGCATGGCGTCTGTTCATAGGGCAGTGAGGCAAGTTATGCAAACCAAGAGAACCTTCTGCAGTGGGTGACTTATTACCTAACTGACTCGAAAAGGCAGTGGCATCCCAAACTCTTTAAATTCAATCCTTATTTCCTGTGGGAACATTATTAGAAACCGAGATGGCACAGTATGGAAATTGACTGTGAATAGCCCTTAAGTGCAAACAAAACAGGCCGTCTGTAAAACCAAAACACTTGGCCAGGCGAGATGGCTCTCGCCTGTAATCCTAGCACTCTGGGAGGCCGAGGTGGGAGGATCACTCAAGGTCAGGAGTTCAAAACCAGCCTGAGCAAAAGCAAGACCCCGTCTCTACTAAAAATAGAAATTAATTGGATAACTAAAACTATATAGAAAAAAATTAGCCGGGCGTGGTGGCGCTTGCCTGTAGTTCCAGCTACTCGGGAGGCTGAGGCAGAGGATCGCTTGAGCCCAGGAGTCTGAGGTTGCTGTGAGCTAGGCTGACGCACGGCACTGCACTCACTCTAGCCCGGGCAATGGAGTGAGACTCTGTCTCAAAAACAAAAACAAAAACCCCAAAACACGTAAGCTGCAAGTGCTGTCACCTATGTGCCTCCCCGCCCGGAACTTTTCATGTAGCCGGGCTGGCTCGGGCTGCAAGTGAGTTTTCTCGGAGGATCTAAGCTTCGTGGGGGCAGCATCTGGGCTTGCTGTGACACTGCTGCACACAGGCGGGTGCTCAAGAAATGTGGCCTGGGGAGGGAAGCCACACAGACCCTGTCTTGCTCTCTGGACAAACCTCCCAAACAAGGACGGCGCGCTGGGTACTGCGAGCACCTCCCGGCTCAGGTCTGTGAGGACGGTCAGCTGCCTGCTGACTCGGTATTTACGAAATGCTCTGGAATGCCAGTCTGGGGCAAGGGGCAGGGCCGTTTCCTTGGAAACACAGGTCCCTCACTCCAGGCCTGTGGAGTCAGGAACACGGTGACTCGGCCAGGGGTCAGAGTTCCAGGGCAGGGTCAGTCCTGTTTGGTCTCATATTTTGCAGTTCCTGTTCATAACAAGTTCCAAAATTGGGTGTGGGGGGTGGGCGGGTTGCAAGTTGAATGTCACTGCGGAGGGGGCGTTCCCCCCCAGAAGACGGGACCCCACACACTTTGGCTCCAGAGAACCCGGGATTTGACACGGCCTCCTGTGCGCATGGGCCGCGGGGGGCCCTGGCGAGTCAAACAGGCTCTCGTCTCTGTCCCCGTCCCCTACAGGGCCAGTGGGAGCATGAAAAGAGATTGCGTCTGCAAAGTGTGTGCAAAAGCGGCTCCCAGTAAAGTGTCCAGACTGGGGACGTTTGTATCTCCTTACGCGAGAAGGGAGTCAGTCGCCCCTTTACTGGGGGGTGGCTGTTCGCTGTGCAAACGCCCCGTTTCTTTGTCCCTGCAACCCAGCATCCAGCAGAGAGGTTTCGTGTACTCGTTTTCCTCCTCCCAGCTAGTCAAAGAGAAAACAGATGCTAGGGAGGGAGCCAAACACCACCCGATCCGTTTCCCTCTCCCTTCCCATAACCTCACAGCATCTTCTGCAGGGTGACGTGGGGACGAGGTCTTGTGCCATCGGCGTCTCACAGCCATGCGGCCACGCCAGGAATTTGGTCGCTGGGGAGACCTCTGGTCCATTTCCATATGGATGACGGAATCGCCCGGGACTCTGTTCCCAGCGCCAGGGCAGACCAGTCACCCCCCTAATCCAATTACCTGAGATCATCAGCGGCTTGGGACACGTCCCCAGCCGACCGTTCAAATGGTTCGCCGCTGGAAAGCGGTCCCTTTGGCGCGCGATGGTGGCCGTGAGTCCTGGGGGCTCGGAAGGGTCAGCCCTGCCCCAGCAACTGGTTGAGTAAGTTGCCGACCCCGAGTCTGGGGTTTTGCAAGTACTTGCTTTGCCGATGGCTATTAGGAGAATTACGGTAACGTCCTCGTTGGACATGGCCCCGTGGCCGTTGCATGGGCGATTCCCGGGCTGCGAATCATTAGACCAACTCAGTTGATTCCTGTTGTCAGTGACCCCGAGCGGTTGTTTGGAGAACGGAATTGGATTAGACGCCCGCGAGGACAGTTGGGGTAAGCTGGGGAGGCCAGACACGTTCCCGAAGAATTCCTGCCTCCTCCGCCCACCGCTCTCTCGGCGGAGTTTGGTCTCAGGCAGAGCCTTTCCCGTTTTTTGCTTGAGTTGCATTTATTTATTTTTTTATTTTTTTATTTTTTTATTTTTTTTGGAGACAGAGTCTCACTCTGTTGCCCAGGCTAGAGTGAGTGCCGTGGCGTCAGCCCGGCTCACAGCAACCTCAGACTCCTGGGCTCAAGCGATCCTCCTGCCTCAGCCTCCCGAGTAGCTGGGACTACAGGCACATGCCACCATGCCCGGCTAATTTTTTCTATATATTTTTAGTTGGCCAATTAACTTCTTTTTTATTTGTAGTAGAGACGGGGGTCTCGCTTTTGCTCGGGCTGGTCTCCAACTCCTGACCTTGATCCATCCTCCCACCTCGGCCTCCCAGAGTGCTAGGATGACAGGCGTGAGCCACTGCGCCCGGCCCAAACTTCTCCTTTCTCCTTTCCAGGTATTTCCATCCACCATCACTAGCGTTTAAATCATCCGATTCACACCCAGGCACCGTCTATATTTTCCGTATGTCTGTGTGGGTGTAAAATGCGAGGGGCTCTTCCCCGGGAAACGGACCCTTTGCAGCCCAGCCCCTGGGTCTTGACAGGCGTCTGGGATCACAGCTAATCCTGCACGTGACTGTCTGTGCGGGAAGCTCTCTCGTTACCTGGGGTCGCCCGAGCCCTGCCGATCACCTGCCTCCCGTTTCGCCCCAAGCCCCTGCAAGCAAAGCCGGGCTAATGGACACCCCTATTGTTGCAAGACAGTCGTTTACCTTGGAGGATGGAGGATTAAAACAACACCACTGGGAGATGAAGCCTTCTCAGCCCTAAGTCAGGATAATGCACCGGGGTAAGAATGCTTAATCTCCAGGGAGTGCCCCAAATCCCCACGATATGCTTTCAGTGCTTCGCTTTGCATTTGGAAGTCTAGATCAACAAAAAGAGGTAGAAACTACACAAAGACAAGGGGCTCACCAGCCAACGATCTAAGCCGGCTGTCATGAACCCGTAAGGCATCTCCGTGCAAATCAGAAAAGGGGACTTTTCCTCCCTGGCAAATGTAGCCCCGAGCCAGGTGCAAGGCCCGGGGAGTGCAGGACGGGGCTGGCATCCAGCCCCCATTTGCCTCCGTGGCTAGGCACACCTTGGGCAGTGAACAACCTGCACAACTGTACCCAGCGGCCCAGAGTCCAAGAGATTCCTGGATGTTTCTTACTGCTTTTCACAAATTAGTTCTGCTGCCAGTCCGCATAGAATAAAGAAAGGCAATTGCACGGGTAAAGGCCAATGTTTGGCTGTGTTCGGATTGTACATACGTCAGCTCCTTGAAACCCTTGCTTTCCTGGCTTGGTGTCACTTGGGTGGGCTCAACCCTTGCTAAGGAGCAGTTAGGTTAAGAGGCCTGTTGTCGACACCTTCACTTTGTTCGTGCCTCTCAGGGAATGGAAAAAGTGCAAAGAACGGCCCAGTCTGAACCCTGTTGCCGGTGAGAAGTTCTCCCACGGGTGGAGCCTTTTCTGAGCTGCTGTGATTACTTAATACCCCGGCTATCGATCAGCTGTGACTCCGGGAATCAGGGCTGTTCCAGTCTCATGCTATGGATGTCTGGGCATGTGGGAGGACACACTGGAGGCAGAGACAAGCAGTGAGGACTGCATGGAGGAGGAAGAGGAGGAAGATGAAGAGGCAGCTGGGACTCCAGGCAAGGAGGGGGTCCCACTGTTTCGTGCCTGTCTTGTATACACATTTTGATCTTGCTTTTGCAGAAGAAGAAGCTGAGGCACAGAAAGTGCTGAAGCAACTTGACCAAAGTCTCCTGGAAGTGGCCACACTGCAAGTAAGCGGCCAGGATTCGAATCCAGAGCTGAAGCATTTAGCCTCTGGCTACCTTTCCTCTGTCCTCGGGTCATGGCATTGCTCTGGGACCTCTTGGGTTGTTTCCACCGGGTATAGCTGTGGCCCCACTTCCTTGGTTTATTATGAGGAACCCCACCAGAAGTGGACAAGTGTGATCTTTGAAGTCTTGGGGACACATCCAGAGTGGCACCTGTCACATCATGGAAGGGATTTCTCTCAGTTTCCCTACTAGGGTGCAGGGTGCATTGCATTTATGTCAAGCAGCAGCTTTTTGTTTTCTGTATTTATTATTTATTTTTGGAGACAGAGTCTCACTCTGTCACCGGGGCTAGAGTGCCATGGCGTCAGCCTAGCTCACAACAACCTCCAATTCCTGAGCTCAAGCAATCCTCCTGCCTCAGCCTCCCGAGTAGCTGGGACTACAGGCACGTACCACCATGCCCAGCTAATTTTTTCTATATATATATTAGGTGGCCAATTAATTTCTTTCTATTTTTAGTAGAGATGGGGTCTCGCTCTTGCTTAGACTGGTTTCAAACTCCTGACCTTGAGTCATCCTCCCGTCTTGGCCTTCCCAAGTGCTAGGATTACAGGTGTGAGCCCCCGCGCCCAGCCTGTTTTCTGTATTTTAAAATGCCTCCCGCCCCTGCCACACACACATACACTCTCTGAATCTTTAAACCATCTTATTCCCTCTTTGATTTGGCTATTAGGAATCTCAGAGTTAGAAATTATATATAACTTTAAATTAAGAACTTCTATTTCCAAATTTCTCCCAAGCTTCATTTTATCATTCAGTTCTTATTTCCACAGTCCTTATTTTGGATATATTTAAGTAAATGGTATATTTTATAAGTATCCAAATAAGATAGATAAAATGATAGCTAAATAGATAAAATTTCCTATTAATCTGAACAACAATTATGACAATCCTACTCTGCACTAGGCTAGGGTTAAAATTTAAATACGACAAGAATTGTGTCACTAAGGAAAAAGATGTAATTGAACAAGACAAATGTGTGAACAAATAATTGTTCACACATTTAACAATTTAACAATATGATAGAGCTCTGCACAGATTGCATACGTCGTATTTTTTTTTCTGCATGTAATGTATTCTTTACATATATTATTACCTCACTTAAACCTTGCAGGATTCCTAGATTTCTACAGGTAAGGAATGTAGGTGCTGAAACATTGAACAACAACAACAAAAAATCATGGTGGTTTTAACATGTAAGTGTTTATTTTTTTCATTTGTAAAACAAGTTCATAAATAGGGAGTCCAAGGTCAATATAGTGGCTCCATAGTCATCAGATACTCAGATTTCTTTTATCTTTTGCTCCACCATCCATGGTTCAAAGTGGCTGCTGGAGCTCCAGCCATCATGTTTGCATTCCAGACAGCAGGAGGCGAAAGGGGAATTCCCTACTACTTGTCTCTTTCTTCCTCGAGACGGCTTCTCAAAAGTCCCACCCAACGATGTTCACTTACACTTCCTTGGTCAATCCTAGCTGCAAGGGAGGCTGGCAAGTTGGTCTTCTAGTTGAAAACATGACTTCCCCAGATAATGTCCCTAAGCGTGGTCTTTGGGGTAGGCCGAGTGCTGAAATGAACAGTCTCTCCAGATCTCAAAGCGGCACCGAAACCGAAATCTCGCAGTCGAGAGAGTTTTCTTTTTCTTTTTTTAACCCGCCAGCAGAGTTGGAATTAGATTATTCCTAAATCTGATTTGCAACAGGTTAAGAGCAAAGCACCAGCTTAAGTGTGGTAATCAGTTTCGGTGACCTTGAGCCGGAAACACAGAAAAAAATGATATTAATAGCAGGGAAGAAAATGGTTACGACTCATTGGAATGGGATATCGGGGACTTGGAGCTGTAGCGTGTGGGCTTTGGTGCTCAGCACACGCCTTC